TAAAAATCTGAACGTGCAAAAGTCCATGGGTCCTGATGAAATCCATCCACGGGTCTTGAAGGATCTGGCAAATGAAGTTGCTAAGCCGCTGGCCATCATATTTGAAAAATCATGGCAGTCAGGTGAAGTTCCCGACGACTGGAAAAAGGGAAATATAACCCCCATTTTCAAGAAGGGGAAAATGGATGACCCGGGGAATTACAGACCAGTCAGTCTCACCTCTGTGCCTGGCAAAATCTTCGAGCAGATTCTCCTGGAAGGCATGCTAAGGCACATGAAAATCAACAAGGTGCTTGGTGACAGCCAGCATGGCTTCACTAAGGGGAAATCCTGCCTGACCAATTTGGTGGCCTTTTATGATGGGGCTACAGAACTGATGGACAGGGGTAGAGCAGTTGATGTCATCTACCTGGATTTGTGTAAAGCATTCGACACTGTCCCACACGACATCCTTGTCTCTAAATTGGAGAGACATCAATTTGATGAATGGACCACTCGGTGGATAAAGAACTGGCTGGATGGCCGCACACAAAGAGTTGTGGTCAATGGCTCAATGTCCAGCTGGAGACCTGTAACGAGTGGTGTCCCTCAGGGATTCGGTGTTGGGACCGGTCTTCTTTAACATCTTTGTCGCTGACATGGACACTGGGATTGAGTGCACCCTCAGCAAGTCTGACAACGACACCAAGCTGTGTGGTTCGGTTGATACGCTGGAGGGGAGGAATGCCATCCAGAGAGACCTTGACACGCTTGTGAGGTGGGCTGATGCCAACCTCATAAATTTTAACCATGCCAAGTGCAAGGTCCTACACCTGGGTCAGAGCAATCCCAGACACAGCTACAGGCTGGGCAGAGAAGAGATTCAGAGCAGCCCTGCAGAGAAGGACTTGGGGGTGCTGGTCGATGAGGAAATAAACATGAGCCAGCAGTGTGTGCTTGCAGCCCAGAAAACCAACTGTATCCTGGGATGCATCAAAAGGAGCATGATCAGCAGGTCAAAGGAGGTGATCCTGCCTCTTTATTCTGCTCCCACGAGAGCTCACTTGGAGTATTGTGTACAGTTCTGGTGTCCTCAACATAAAAAGGACATGGAACTGTTGGAACAAGTCCAGAGGAGGGCCACAAGAATGATCAGGGGACTGGAGCACCTCCCATATGAAGATCGGCTGAGGAAGTTGGGACTGTTCAGCCTGGAGAAGAGAAGGCTGCGTGGAGACCTCATAGCAGCCTTCCAGTATCTGAAGGGGGCATATAGGGATGCTGGGGATGGACTCTTCATTAGGGACTGTAATGATAGGACAAGGGGTAATGGGTTAAAACTTAAACAGGGGAAGTTTAGATTGGATATAAGGAGGAAATTATTTCCTGTTAGGGTGGTGAGGCACTGGAATAGGTTGGCCAGGGAGGTTGTGAATGCTGCATCCCTGGCAGTGTTCAAAGCCAGGCTGGACAAGGCCTTGGGTGATACGGTTTAGAGCGAGGTGTCCCTGCCCATGGCAGGGGGGTTGGAACTTGATGATCTTTAGGTCCTTTCCAACCCTAACTATTCTATGTTTCTATGGTTGTTGATAGAATTTTGTTCACGTATTCTTTAGGTATTTTTGCACTTGATTTGCGAGATGAATGAGCAAGATATGGTAGCTTTTAACAGTGATAAAGACAGATTTAATTTCAATTTTTTTTTGTACTATATGATAGTCTGTGTGTATTTTCATTTATGCTTCTCTATTTTTTCATAATGATCAAAGAAATAAAACCAATCTAAAACTGTGGATGTGCAACCTCAACATGTTAGAAACTTTATCATCTGAATCCTTGCAGTTAGAGATCAGCAAGCTATGCATGGTACAACATGCACAGCAAGTGGCCGTCTGTGTATTGCTTAATTTTCACACTACCTTAATTAGTGCACCATATTCTAGGTGTGAAATTGTATATCTGTGCAGACTGTATACCATTCAGAAAACTGTTCAGTTTTTCATACACATTTGTATTAGTATTTACAGAAATGAACCTGCATATACCACTTTTCCTACAATGTTACAGATTTGTGCCTTCCACAAATCCGTAATGATCTTACAGAAAAAACTGCTCCAGGTTAGTGCTGAAATTCTTAAGCCATTACACAGACCCTCTAACTTGGAGCCAATGTCCCGTTCTGAGTACTCTTACAGACATCCTTCAGCTTTACCCTTCTGTAATGGACTTAACCCAGACAGTCAACAATAGCCTGGAAGAAAGAAAATAATCATCAAATCCCTGTCCAGTTGGCAGGATGGGACACTGTTAGATCACTTTGCTTTGTAAATACAAGCATTTTACAGGAAGATGAAAGGAGAAAAATAAAAGAAGGGAGGGGAGGAGAGAAACAAAGCAAAACTCAAACCAGGGTTCCCACCTGGCTGCAATAATGTACATTCCCAAAAGATCAAGAAATGAAGAAAAAGCTGATAGTGCTCTCAGCTTGTATGTTATTTTTGGCAACAATAAGCAGCAACATGGGATAAACCCCATGCAGCTTGCATACCGTGTCACATTTGTCACCTCTAAACGTCTGACCTCTCTTCAGAATTCAAAGTGTAATTGATCACTGGAGTCCCATCATCTGCTTAGGTAGAGCTGTAATTGAATTTTTGTTTTTATTTACATGTCTGGTTTTGTATTTCTGAGATGTCTGTTGACTGTTCTTGCTTCTCTCTTTTGTGGATTCTTCTATAGCACCACTGAAGGCTTCTGAGATGTGAAACTATTACCTTCTACAGAGAACGTTTTTAATTAAACGATGTCTAACCTTAATGCTGGATATTCTTCTGCTGTGAGATAAGGGAGGCAGATTGCTGATGGATAAAATATGCCACAAACTAAAAAGATGCTGAGATTATGTTAGTTAATGTTAAATAACGCTAACATTTTTAAAGCCAAGGCCTTTTATTTTAGAACTGAATTTCAAATAATCTAAAAGTCATTCCACAAGTCACTGTGGAAACGAACAGCTGTGAACTTATTCTATTTTTCCTTAAAAGCATGGGATGCCACTTGCATTCAAGCAGAACTGTAGGAAATCACATAGATACAGATGAGTACAAAGCCTGATGCTTCCTTGTCTCCCTTTCGTGTACTTCCCGTACATATGTCAAGGCACTGTTAAGAACTGATGGGTTTGACAACAGATGCCAGGAAGTTCTGTGACAGAGAAATTGGCAGATTTCTGTACTCTCTATTCTTCTTCTAATTTGAAGGAAAAAAGAAAAAGGAAAAAAGCACAACAACATGATTCACAAGCCTACTGTTACTGAGTGTGAACTGTGATTCAAATTAGAATTGCTGTGGGAATACATCTCTTTAGGTGATGTCCAGAAAGTGCATAATTAACTTATCTGAATCCAGAGGTCAGGAAGTGAAAAATTCGGCACCTTTACACATTAATGCAGGCTTACTGAAGCTTTTTCTGTGTTACATAGTCTCTTTTAACACTAATTTATGACATTGATATTAAAACTGTATACCAATTAATTAAAGCAGGCTGAAAGCTTCCCACATTTTCTGCTCAATTATGTTCCTTAGGAAAATGTTTGAAATTAAACTTCTAAATCACTCAAATAAAATTACATGTTTTACTTTCCTGGTTTTGACTATTTTACCATTTTAAATGTTAATTTACTTCATGTCATGCAATTTTTAGCAGTTTAGATCTTACAAGCTGTCCCTACATTCCTTACTGGTCTATCTTTTGGCACTGGCTGAACAAATTACTTGGTTTTATCAAATTAAAGTATCCTTTATACTTCCTTTATATTTTCATTTTTTATTCCATAGTAATGAACAGATAGATTTTTTTTTTACCCCTTTAGGGTAGAGGGATGTTTTAAAATAGCAAGATTTTCCATGGAACTGAATTTCTGCTTCCAGCTTTCCATTACATTAATGACTGTAATGTAACACTGAAGGGTCTCTGAATCAGATTTAGGGCAGTTACTAGAAAAACTTGTTCAACTTCCTCATGTCTGCACATTTTTAAATCTTTATATTTATTTATGTATTTGCAAACACATTCAGGGGCTGTGGTTAGAGTAGGCAAGAGAAAGCATTTCAGTTAGCCTGGAATACTGGGGAGAGGATGTAACGGATGGGAGTCCCTGATAGCTTTCCTCTTAAGTGGATCTCTCCATACATAAATACCTCATCCAGTTTTTACTCCTCCAGATTCATCTGTTTCTTTGGAGGTAGGGTTGGAAAGTGATTTAAAAATAACCCAGTTACAGTCAACAATAAAAGAATATAGTCTTGGGTATGTAGAAAATACCATACAATAAATCAACGGAAGGCAGGCTACTGGCCTAAATGCAATGTGAATGAATGTGTTGGTGAAAGAAACTGGAGGACAGGTCATCTGGTCAAGGTAGCAGGCCTTAGTTCTGCTTCTCTTTGTATTCCTGAAATAGGCTCTGAATTTGGACCAGAGAAGAGGAAGAGAGAGAGAATGCACATTTAATTTATGTGGCTGATAAGAAATATGGAAACTTAATAATGTTTTTTTGAGAGCGGATATGTTTCTGCCATAGGATCCCAATACTCATGTTTTAGTAGAATTGATCTTGAGGCAGCTTATGCTCCTGAATCACCATAATCAAGGGTTGGGCTGGCGTTTGCTCATGGCGCCAGGGAGGGAGGCGGGAACATGGCTACAGCAGCCTGCTTCATCTTGTAATGTCACGGACCTTACTTTACTGCTGAGCACGGGTGGTTAGAAAACCGAGCAAGGTTTATTAATTACAGCTGCGGATGTTTTCCCTGTACCGGCTCACCTCGACACCCAGGAGAGCCACCTCGCACCAAGAACAGCGTTTATCTCCCGGTTCCAGCTATCTGAGGGAAAGACCCGCACCCCCGCGAAGCCGCGAGCCCCGACCCAGCACTCCCCTCCTCGAACCGCAATGGTTTGTCCCATGGAGAGCGGGAAGGCGCTAAAAGCGGAGCTCGCTTCCAGGTTTTGGTGCTGGCGGGTGCTGTGGGTTGCTCCTCCTCCGCTAAGGTTTCGGCGCGGGCGGGCACGATGCGCAGACTCGGCCCTTGGCTAAAGATGGCGGCGGCGGGTGATAAACAGAAGCACGAGCACGGGCGGGTGAAGATCGGGCATTACATCCTGGGTGACACGCTCGGCGTCGGCACCTTCGGTAAAGTCAAGGGTAAGTAGGGGGGAGGGGGCTGCCGCCTGCCCCGCGCACCGGGCTGTGGGCAAAGGGGTAGCGGGCAGGGTTCAGCGGCGGGGTTTTTGGGTCTCTCCTGCTGCTGCCGCCGGCAGCCGGCCCGTTATGGCCGGAGGGCCTCAGAGGCCTGGGAGGGCAGGGGGGATGCGGATGCCGCTGTCGCAGTCCGAGCTTGGCCCCGCTCGGTCTGCCGCCCGTAGGGCTGCGGCGGGCCAAGTCTCCCCGGCGGCGACGCCGGGAAACTTGAGCTGCTAGGCGCCGCCCGGCTAGTGCCGCCCGGCGGGTGAGTCATGGGCTGCGGCGGCGCTGGCAGCGTGGTCCTGCGGCTCGGAGGAGAGGGGCCGGGAAGCGCCTGCTAGTCGGGCGACCAGTGTCGCCGTCGCAGGAAGACGGTCATGGGCAGTTAGCGGAAGCCTTGGCCGCAGCGGCAGCGGGGACCGGGCGAGGGGGCTCTGGGCGAACGTACAAACATCGCCCGATGTGCTGTGCGTGACCCTCGACAGAGGAGTTGTGTGGCCGGCCTGGCGGCGGGGAGTGAGGGCTGGGCGGGGGGGGGGGGGGGGGGCGGCCCAGCGGCTCTCTTCTGTGTTCACGGAACTAACTACGGCAACCTAACGATGCTGCATTTATTGCAGACAGCGCCGGATGTGTAAGGGAAGTAGGGAGGCTTAATTCTTGAGCTGTCTGTACCTTGCATTTTGCTGCGCAAATACCAACTCTTGATCTTCTTGTAAAGGAGGCAAGACTTCTACTTCTGCAAAGAGAGCAATAAGCATACAAAGACGATTCTGGAATTGCTGGATTAACTGGCAGCACAGCTGACATACAGATACAGAAAGACTTTATGCTAAATCCACGTGACTACTGGTTACCAAAGGAGTTTTCTCCAGCTTGGGCTTTAAAAACTTTCCCAGTAGGGATGCAGATGCCATATCACAGATTTGAAGTCTAGCAGAAATAGAAATTAAACTTTCCCCCGATGCCAGCTGCCGCAGGTAGTAAAGCTGCATTAGCTTCTACTGTACCTGCTGTGATGTTTGTGAGAATTGTTCAAATACTGGGGTACGCAAATGCAAAATAACCTTTCACAACTTAGACTATACTCTCATTGCATTCTTTGTAGGGTCTTTTATGGGTATCCTAATGGATTGCTCATTATTACAGCCAGTAGAGAACTGCAGCTTATCCTGTTATATCAGTCTGCTAGTTGATTTTTAACACGTTTTTACAGTGTTTTTCCTGTATGTTCTCTGCACAAGCTCTTTCAACTGTTAGTAAGTTCTGAAGAAATTGCTCATGTATGGAAAATAAAAGTGTATTTGCCTTTAAGAGTAGCTAAGAAAATATTTTGAGACTGGAGCCCTCCAGGTCTCCTTTCTTCAGGGCAGTTTATGAAGTGATACCCCCAGCCATTTTAGCACCTCCTTAAAAAGACAGAAAATGAGATAAGGCAGAAGACAGGGATCAGATCCCTCCTCCTCATGGAGGGACTACATGGTTGAGGGGAGGAGACAAGTCAAAGATGTGTGGTTCTCCCCCTTCCCAATGCACTGCACAAAACTAACAAATGCTTACATAAATGTTCTTGTCTCTCTTGGCAAAAGTGTGTCTGAAGTTGACCTCTTAAAGATAATTTTGTGGGCCTGCTGTTACAATTTTAATGTATTATTGAACATCACTACTATTAATATTTCATGAAGTAGAGTTAGGTTAAAACAATTAAAACAAATAGAAGTGGAAGTTTTATTATTGCTCTATTTCCATAATACCCCTCTGCTTGCCTTATTTGATTTCACTTACAAATAACTTAGTGATGTGGTGTTTTCGTGGTTTTCCTCTGGCTGTATTAGTCAGAATTAACTACTGATTGACTCTTGACTGCGCCTCAGTTGGACAGTCATGGAGGAGACAGCTGTTTCTGGACAAGATCTAGGCAAACCTGAAATGCCACAGAAGTAAAAACCTGTGGGGTAGAAGAGTACTGAGCTAAATCATGTGAGACACATTCTCATTTAAACTTGTATTTGATGTAAAACCTCTATCCGTATTTTTGATTATTTTTTGGTGGGGGGTGGGGTAGGGGAGGAGTGGCTTTTTTTTTCCTCACCCAGTGCAGAAATGTGTCTTTAAATACAGTGTATGCATATTTAGAGTTTTTTGCCCTACGGTTTTATAACTGATATTTCAAAAGAATGTTGTATTTGTTATGTATGGCCTCGTAATCGGTTTTCTTTTATATCTGAAGACCTGCTGAACTGAGTTTAGGGACCACTGCTACCGCAGTTCAACAGTTAGAAGTCACTGCTACTTTGAGACTCTGCCAGTATCTTGGAAATCGGTGTTACGTGTATCCATAGTGAAGCTTGAAGGCAGTGGGTGTTATCAGAGAATAAAGAAGTACAGGGAAATATCAGGTCTGTAAAGTGAACTTACTGCAGTGAAATTCTGTTGAAGGACTGATAGCTGATTGAGCATGAAGGTGACTCAAATTTTGATTAATTGTGATTTGTAAGACTTCCCTTTTATAGGTAAGACTTCTGTGAAGAGGTTATACAAAGTAGCTTTCTGAAAGATAACACTCTCTGCTTACCTTTTTTCATGATGTTATGGTTTGAGGTCTCGCATTCAGTTTTTCATGCTGAATTCAGAAGTAGTCAGTGGTCTGTTACCAGTTAGTGGCTGCTGTTTTACTGTTAACAGATACCTTGAACCAAATACAAGAAAACAGTTTCATTTGCCGAAGTAGTTACTTGAAACTTAAAAAGCTTTGTTAAAATCTTAAGTTTAAAAAGGGAGGCAAAAATTACTGAAGAAAAAAGTAGTTCAGTTTGAAGTGTCTTAAGCAAGTGAATGGGCTTTTGGGGATCTTTTTGCACCTGCACAAAGCAACCCTATATTTTCATTACAATAATTTATTCAAAGTCAGCAAACAGTTGAGGCAAAAAATGTTTTTTCTCCTAGTCGGTGAACAAAACTAAGGCTGGAAGTGCACAATCTTGATGGCTGTGACAGCTAGAATTAGTTTCAGTCAACTGCAAATGTCACTGTTTAATTACTTTAAAGGAAAAACGTGTATTGAAGACCTTATGTGACATAAGATTGTTGTAGCTAATAAGTTACTTTCAGTTGTTTTTCTGAGTTCTAATGAAATTCCATGTTTTTTGTCTAATTTAGACTGACAAATTGGAAATGAAACAAATTGACCCAAATGAGAATTTGTAATGCAGTGCATGTCAGAACTGAATATTTATATGCTAAGCTGTAGAATTGTTCAGATATATGTGCTACTTACTAAATTAAACACCTTACTACATGTACTTTGTAAAGCAAAGGAAGATGCAAATTCATGTCTTTTTGTTTAGTTTTCAGGAAGCTGTTCCTGACTAACCAAAATTAATGTTAAATTTAAACTTTTTTAATTCCCCCTCAGAATAGCCTTATTTCAGCTTATGTTACTGATAAGCAGAAACTCTGTAATTCAAATATAATAGTTGCTTTTCTGATGTTTTATGCTGATAATTTGTTATTTGTTGGGGTTTGAGCATGTGTGGTATAATTTGTTAGGTTCCTTTAAAACTTCAGTCACATTTGAACTGAAAAAACGCAAATGGGGTGCAATTACTTTAATTGTAGATGTTGAAAGCAACTAATTCTCATATGTTACATGATTTTGCAGTTCTAGGTACTGGCCTGTCCATGCTTTGTTGGCTGTCTAGAACTTGTGGTGGATGTGGGCTTTGTTCTGTATTCCTCAGCAGTGCAAATGTGCTTGTCCAGTGTTTTGATTATTGTGGGCATTTTTAGGTAATGGCTCCTCTGAGTGAGAGGAGGGGTTTTCTCACCTTGCAGTGGGAGCCCTTTTGTATTTTCAGGTTGTGATGGTTCAGGGTCTTGGATAATCCACTATGTAGTTACCTCTAGGAATTCAGACAAGATGCTTTATTTTACATAGTGGCTGTCTTGCTGTTCTCTCTGTGTCTTTGCTAAATTTCTTCTCACTTGCATTTTTTTTTTCTAATTTTTTTTTTTTTTTTTTTTTTTTTATAAAGGCAGCTGGAAAGTCTTGTGTTGGGAAGAGAGATTCACAGATTGATAGGTGTTTGCTAATTCCATCCAAATTATTTGTTGAATGCAGGAAGGTTTAAGTGGATCATTACTGTTTATCAGAGTTTCCTGTGGATATATTTAAATAAACCTTGAAGCCTGGGGCCTGGTTAACTGCTCAGGTGAGGAGAGGAACCCAGGTGAATGAGTCAGCATATGCCTGTTAGCAGTTTCCAGGTGGGCAAGGACACTGGTCCATGGTAGGGACCCTGGAATTTGACAGTTTGTCAGAATAGGTGTCCCTGGAATCTGACTAATCGTCAAAAACCAGGAATTGGGGTGGCAAATGGATATGATATAACTGAATTAGAATATAACTGTGTGCAGAAATCCATGCAGATAGTGAAAACTTACAGTGGAACAGAAAGCCTTCTATGCTTTATCTGTGATCCAGTGTTTGGTTTGAGAAAAATATTTTTGGCAACTTTGTTGTGGTTGCTTCACATAGCACTTCCAAATTAAGGAGGGACAAGTGTCGAGAAAAGTGTTTTACACTTCCTCGCTTGAAAGAAAATTAAACCCTTATAGCAGTAGGAAAGAAACTGAGGAATATGAGGTTGGATGTTTGCATTGCTTCTCGTAGTTACAACTGATTTTTGTGTGTTTCCTGTAGTTTTTACCACTTATGTAATAAAACCCTGGTGTTTACTGCGCGGACTGTGGACTGTAGGGTCAGACTGTTCCAAGGACAGGTAATTATTTTTGAAGTAAACTAATACTCTCGGTAATACAGAGTAATTGCTGAATCCGGCTTCTTGAGGGAACAATAATGATTTCTTTAGTAAGAGGGATACTTGCAGATAAAGTGGGAGAGCTGCAGGACAGCATGTCTGAGTTGGTTTCCAGGTGAGCTAAAAGTTTGGAGTGACTTATACAGGGAGAGAAAATGGTGTCCCTAATTAGCAAGGATGCATTCAGAAAGGATGCATTTAGCAAGGATAGCATTTTGGTGTGTGCTTTGGTAGCAGTAGTGCAAAAAATGGAGTCATGCTGCAAGACATCTGAGGGCTATGTTTAAGGTTTTTCTTACATAGCCTATTCATCTTCTAATGATAGAATTGTGGGAGAAATTGGAGTAGGGCAGAAGAAATTACATGCCATCTGGTTTTCAACTGCATTTTAAGATAATGGGGGTATGTGGACTGCAAACATCTTCGTGTTTCTTGGCTATGGTTGAAATGAACAAATTGTCCTATGGAGTAGTTGAAAACCCTCACTAAATACTTCCTTCTTCTTGCAGTTGGCAAACATGAGTTAACTGGGCATAAAGTTGCAGTGAAGATCCTGAATCGACAGAAGATTCGCAGCCTTGATGTTGTAGGAAAAATCCGCAGGGAGATTCAGAACCTCAAGCTCTTCAGACATCCTCATATAATTAAGCTGTAAGTTTTGCTTGCTATATTTAAGCAGTAATCTCTTTTTGCTCTCACTGATCTGAAATATGTTTAAAGGGCAATTCTAGGAGTATATTGTCATGAAAATACCACATCCCAAGTACAGAACAATTTTCGGTGTCCTCTCTAATGTGTTTTCATAACACTGATCTGCTCTGCAGGCTGGAGAGCTTCCCTTAGATCTTTACTTACAGATTCTTTGAATGGATATGTAAAAGGTAATGCCATGATAGATGCTTCTAGTAGCATCCATGTCTGTTTTCTGCTTATGCTTCAGTTTTCTTTTATGGTTTTATTTGACCTTTCTTCTGCTTCAAAAATCAGTTGTAAAAAAGATTGTGAAGGACCATTTCTGTAGTAAGTTTATTGTGTTTTCTTACTCAAAATGTGTTCTTAGTGATGTGCTGGTCGATTATCTATGGTTTTCTAGCATAGTTGGTGCTCTGTGAGGTACATTCTGAATTAGGAATGTGCAGTTTGTTAAATTATTTTGGAATTCTTCAGTAAAGCTGCTACCACTTTGTCTAACTGTGGTGTTTACAGTGTGTCTGTTTACATCTGTTAGTTGATCAGTAATTCAAAAGTGGAGTTCAGGGGACAGTTAAATATGCCCCAGAGTAGACTCCTCATCTGTGGTCTTATAAATGCTGTTGATTTTTTTTTTGGCTTTTATTTCCTGTAGTATATATCTGCATCTCCAGAGTGTGGGTGATTTTCCTTGTCTTAATTGTGGTGTTGGTCCTATCTTTTTTTTGTTTTTTTTTTTTCTTCTTTTTTTTTTTATTGGCAGTCTCTCCTCTTAAGATGCTGCTGCCACTGACATATGCCAGCACTATACACTTCGCTTAATTTGGCAACAGCTCTTAACACTGAAACTAAATTTGATGTTGCAAGATCAACTCACTTCTTCAGTGGGTTAGTTTTCAGAAGACTGTTGAGCCGATCTGACAACAGAACTGCTGGTGCTGCCAGTTAGAGTTCATGAACGAGTCCAAAGGACATACCTGTAGCCAAAACAAGATAGGAAGTGTCAGTGTACCAACTGAAATGTGGGGGTGGAACAGGAATGTGTACTTGTGAAGTTGCTAAACTGTTAAGTTAGCGTAGCAGGTTTCGGATGGCAGTTTCTTTCTCAGGGAGTTATGGGGAGATAGTTTTTTTCCTCTTGCATGTGAAGAGAAGGGAGGAGATGGTATTCCATCAATTTTTTCACCAACTTTTCAGCCTGTGTTTCTAAAGAAGAAGGATTATTAGCTTGTATGTATGTAGCATATAAGACAAAATTGATATTGTTATGCAGATAGCTGGAAGTTTGGGATCATGCTGCACATAATATTAGGAACTGGACTGGGGAACTTTTAGATAGCAGCTTAAGATATCTGGGGTAAACAGATCTCTTCAGCTTAATATTACAACGTAGACAATGTCTAATTTGAAACATTCCTGAGCTTTGTGAAAAATTTCATGCATGGCTTTAGCAGTGTGTACAATTGCCAACTTGTTGCAATAAGATTTTCATTCTATACCATGCTTTAAATAAAGCCTTTGGAGCATCTCCTTCTGCAGTTTTTGACCTTTAGCAATAGAGTGCATCTTGTTTTCCTACCTAAAATTCTCTTTTTTTTTTCTGGCATCTACACTGTATGGGTTGATAATCTTATTTATATTATAGGTATGTAACTATTCCACAACCTCCTTGTCCATACCCAGAAAAATGAGCTGACTGTAGACAAGCTTGGCTGTAACTTTTGGATTTAAATTGATTAAAATACTATCTCTGTAGTAGTCTCTTAGCCATGGTTTTAGAATGTTGTTAATGTTCAACCATGGTGTTAGAGAAAATTGATAAAGGTAGCATGTCTGAACTCATTGCTGTGTATAGTTCAAGAATAACTTCTCAGTAAGCTGAAGCACATCTGTTTTCCCATTTGTCTTGAAGTGTAGTTTTATTTATGGCAAGTCAAGTTTTTTTAGCACGTTGGGAAGCATACATTTGAGATGCTAGCAAAGTCCTTTTGAATTCCTTCCTCACTGAACCAAGCTGTATTCAAGGCAGCACTGTAGAGGAATCATTTGGACTAAGCTTACCCTCTGAAACTATAAAGGCTGATATTCCTGTTTGGGAATATAAGTACGCTACTGATCTTGGCAGTGATGACATCTCACAGTGGAAAGAGAAAATTGCTTCTGAAAAATAATGTAATTTCAACAGCTGTAAACTAGCTGATAAATATTTTAAACTATACTTTTATCTGACTCTTTGTACAATGTTGTTTTTTAGCTAAATGTAATTTAGCATCATTTACTGAGTGTGTAGACTAACAAATACCTTCTCTTATCAGGTACCAGGTCATCAGTACACCAACTGATATTTTCATGGTGATGGAATATGTTTCAGGAGGAGAATTGTTTGATTATATCTGTAAAAATGGAAGGGTAAGAAGTAGTCTGACTCTACAAATCAATGACTTGTATTGTGTTACTGCTTTTGCAACACTTCTGTGTCATCTGCCTTTGAAAGTACAGGCAGGTTCTTTTGGGGGATCCTTTTGGGGATATAATTAAAGCTTTATTTTCTTAGCAAGATAATATAGTTAGTGTAGCACAGAACTTATGACTAGAGTGGTACAGGATTTCAACAAGCAGAATCAATGTAGTACAACTTATCAGTAGTGTAATGCAGAATTCATAATATAATTTAACTTCTAGAATTCTTATCACGTGGACGCTCTGCAGATCTGGTCAAATCTTAATACATGGTTTATGGTATCAGTACAACATTCATATAGTCTGGACTTGAAAATCATGTGGAAGAACATGAGTCACTCAGTCTTTGGAGGAAGCAGAGGATAGTGGAGGTGTATCTTGCCACCAGTGAGTTGTGGGTGTTGTCCAGCAGTGGTTCTGTTTGAGGTTCCACACTTAGAACTTGTAATTGAGGTCACAGACAGTGCTCTGGGTGTTGTTACGCTTGCCTGTTCTGTGGTGGTGTTATCACTACCACCAGGCTGGTTAGGTGCTATGGACCTTCAGGAACATTAAGGAAAGGCATTATCAGCCTGCTTCCCTGGAACCTTGAGGCCAGTAGAGATGGGAAGAAGAAATTTTTGGTTTGCCTGCTGGGTTTACAGGACCATTCAGGGCCAGACAGTGAGGGAAAGGACTCAAATACGTGACTCACTTAGGCACAAAATGGCTGCTTGCCTCATAAAATGGTGTTGGTTATGCTAATCAAATTACCAGGGCCAGGAGCAGAGTGTACCTGTCACACCCTGTTAAGTGAGGGTTTGCTTTTCTGTATTTGGCATTAGTTTTGCCGTTAGCAGTTAAAACATACTGTATGACTACATCTTTTTCTGAATGTTAACATGTTTCATTTTTTTTATGCATGACTGTCATAGCACTTTTCTATGCTGATCTGTTAATTTACAATTACTGGGAGCAGACTGGGTGTATATGTATCCAGCTGAAGTATAAAAAAATATTTATTGAGTATAACCCGTTACTGGAAAGCTACTGTTGTGGCCTTAATACCGTCTTCTACTAGTAGAACAGTTTCTGTGGAAGCTCCGAAGTCACTTTTGACAAATCGGGATACTTTAGTTGTTAGAGCATACTTTGACATGGATTAGGGCATGTTTGTAGGGAATGTCCAGCTAAGTCTGCTTTTTGGGCTAGCTGCTTATACTACCTAAGACTGTCACTTCTGTGATGCATGTCAGCAGCTTTTGTCAACGTAAATCTTACGCAGTACTTTGGGTTGCTAAATTACAGACTATGTAAGATCTGCCTAACCAATTTCAAAAGTCCAATTAGAAATTTCAGAGACTTTGTGAGTTGGTGGGTATGTTTTATAGTCATTTTTGAGCTGTGGTACAATCAAAATGATGTAAGCTATGGAGCTTCTGTAAGTTCTAATAACCTGCTGTGTAAAATATCAATGATAAATAATAACTTTAGGTGGTGGGAAAATTTCCTTTAACTCACATATATAATAAACCAAATTATCTTCCACTGTCTCAACTGTTTTAAAACCTTTGTCTGCCTTAGCTGGATGAGAAGGAAAGTAGACGTTTGTTCCAGCAGATCCTTTCTGGTGTGGACTACTGTCACAGACATATGGTAGTACATAGAGACCTGAAGCCTGAAAATGTGCTGCTTGATGCACACATGAATGCCAAGATAGCTGACTTTGGTAAGCATTGCTGTTTTATACCTGATCATGTTGCTGCTGGTGTTTAGCTCCTGTTAATTACTATGGGAAATATTCAAGTATACACATTTTTTTAAATATCCTGGTGATGGGACACAATACAAGAACCTGAAGAGTATGAATATAAAGCAAAATTATATTTCATGCACATGTGGAGAACTTGTTTTTCTCTGAAGCTTTCTCTTCAGGAATTTTCTGTGACTGGATGATATTATGAACTGATTTGTTTGTTTTTTTGTAACGATATTTTCTCTGAAATGCTACATAGATTTGGTTCCTGACCTTTCCACTTCAAAATTCACTCCTATTGCCTGTTTCACCATTTGTAGATGCTTAGCTTTCTTGGAAATACAGTGCAGGAGCAGTTCATAATGTTTAAGAACTACATCGGTATGGTAAAATACACTAGTCCTCCAAACAAGCTACTGTAAATTCGCTTTAAAAACTCTGTAAAGTTGTGAGTGAAAAAATGTAATGAAAATGTAAGAGGTAAAATAAGAACAGTTAATCTTCTGAACTCATGGTTTTTTGTTTTTTTTTTTTTTTTGCTGTATACCTGCCTAACTGATCAGAAAACTTAATTGTTTATACAACCTTATTTGTGACACAGCTGTTGAAGACTAACAGCTAGTTCTTGGAGATATCTGAATCAGGAAACCTCACCATATAAGCATAGGAAGATATCCATACTGTTACAGCATCACAATATATCTCTTGTAGACATAGTGGATAATGCCTGCTTGTGTAAAGCACTTAGAGCTCTCTGGACAGTGCTAGGTAATACTGAGTGTTCTAAGTATATTTATAAGTACGTTGTTCAAATACGTGGGCACTGGGGATTATATTGTGTTTTTTGTGTGTAGAAAATGCTTATCTGGTGAAGAAATGAATTACAGAAACTTAACTATATTCCTGTAGCTTATTAATCAGCAAAGCTATAGGACTTAGTTGTTACTAGTGCATCAAATGAGATGTTAATAGAAGGTTTTGCATATTAGAGTATGGAAACAAGCCAAACTGTATTCTTTCATCTTTCCCCTTCCCACCGTAAAAGGACATAATTCCTTCTTGGAGACTGAGTAGTCTCGATAATGCAGCCTCCGCTGAAGAAACTAAAGGCATTTTCTACAGCCATTCTAGAAGTGGTAGTTCTTTACTGATCTTAGACTGTACTGAGGGCTGGTGAATGAAGATGGCCTAGTTCCAAAGTACAATTTAATTACTCAATGGAATATCTAAAACTAATGAACTACAGTGATTCAGGAAATTGTGAAGTCAGGTGTAGTCCTCAGCTCCCATATTTTCCATGTCTCTACAAAACTTTAGTTAGTTCTGTGTAGCATCTTCCACTTTAGCATTTAGAAACAAATGTAATTTTTAAGACTTTCTTGTTAATGACCAAAATCCTAGCTTGCTATGCGGTTCCATATTCCTTAGAACAACTTTGTTCTCAGTCATGTCTGTGTCATCCAAATCAGACTGGTTTTTGTTTTAGAATTAAAATGTTCTCAAGTACTTCTGGGTTGTGTGCAATAATGAATTGATGTTACTCAAATTTCTGATAAACTAAATGGAGGATTATGTGGCATGCTCATGTAAAAATTTCAGTAATTCCAAACAATATTACTTCTTTACTGGGATATATTTATTGATTTTTCTCATTTGAATTGCTAGTGATTTGTTCTAGATGGTATATGCAGCATGAAATCATTTTGCTCTCCCAATTTTTAATAGTTACTCTTATACACTTTCAGGTCTATCAAATATGATGTCAGATGGAGAATTTTTAAGAACAAGCTGTGGTTCCCCTAACTATGCTGCGCCAGAAGTAATTTCAGGAAGGTAATTTCTTTTGTATTGGATACATGTGTACATGTACTTCATTTTGCTGCTTGATTCTAAAGTCTACAGAGCTAGTTTATTTGACAAGCTTGATGCTGAGAAACCATGGGCTGAGCTTTAATTGGCTTGGTAATTTTTCATGAGGATTTAAGGCTTCTGTGCACTACCTTTGGATAGCTTCTGCAAGGTGGAGGTGATGTCTGTTGCACCATATGCTGTGTGCCTGAATTGATCTTAAAAATCTCACAGCTCAGACCTTGGAAGTAGAGGTGTGAATAGAATTAAAGGCAAAGTCTGCTATGAAGCTGAGTAGGTACTTTCAGAATGAGTAACTTCCTCCTTTTTTTTTCCCCTTTTTTTTTTTTTTTTTTATTCTTTGCTGCCTTCAGCTACCCACTCAATATTGCCTCTTGCTGATGGATGCCAAATGTCTGTTTATTCAGGCAGCACCACAGGATACATGACAAGTTCTGCTATATAACTTTTCAGTCTCACAAATCTGGGGGGGATAGTTGACTTTGCACATTATAACAATATGTAACATGGGCTTTCTTAGTAGGAGGTGCAAGTTTCTTTGGGTTTGCCATTGACTTAAACTGCATTTATGGACTGTTGTTATAAACTACAGAGGAAACCTATGTACTTGTGCCTTGTTTTATATTTGAAATGGAAGGACACTGACATTTAGGGAAGCATGTCATAGAACTGAAATGGCACAGTAGTCGTGGATTAGTTGTCCCAAGTTAATACACTTTAAATTACTGTGGTACAGTGTAAGAAACTACAGAAGGAAATACTTAAATGTATTAAACACAAATCACTAATAGTTAACTTTCTTCCCAGATTATATGCAGGTCCAGAAGTAGATATTTGGAGCAGTGGGGTTATTCTCTATGCTTTGTTGTGTGGAACACTTCCATTTGATGATGATCATGTACCAACCCTTTTTAAGAAGATATGTGATGGTATCTTTTATACCCCTCAGTATCTGAATCCATCTGTAATCAGTCTTTTGAAGCATATGCTGCAAGTGGATCCAATGAAGAGAGCAACAGTCAGAGACATTAGGTAAAATACTAACTGATGTCTGATCACAGGATGCTGGAATGATAATCTCGGTGCAAATATGCAGAACAAAGAAGTCATTCATAGAGCTAGTCTGTGTTTTGTAGGGTGAGGAAAAATTCAGCTGCTGATGGTTTGGTTTTACCTCTGATTCTCATCTTCAGTGGCCTTCTGTCAGGAGTCGTAGTAAAATGAGTTATATAGTGTTGTGCAAGATGTTGAAAACCTTTGTTGCAGAGCATAGATAGCTTTTGAATCATAAATAGTTCTGTCCTGTTAGCCATATGACATGTCATCTCACACTTTGAGGGACAAACAGAGTTCAGTTGAATACCTTAATTTTTCAGGGGGTGACGGTGGATATGCCTTTAAAGAAGATCTTGCAAATTCCCTAAGCAAATGTATTGCTGTTAAGGAGACATATTCATTATTTGAGGGAATTAGTCTTAGTGGAGGTGATTTGTAGCATCCTGACAGGTACCCAAAGACTGGTTGAGACTTTGGTTCACACTGTCTATGCGGTGCAAGTTCGTACTAAGTGCATTGATATCATGTCAACACCCTGGTGTTAATGAGCTGGACAGACATGGAGGCACCACCTGTAGATGGATTGGACAGCCAGCTCTGAGAATTTGAAGAGGATCTTGATTCCTCCATCTTTCTCCTGCATCTCAGCTGTGGAGAAATGCATAGGTTTCTTTCTTCCTGCCATCCCAATGGTGGGGAGTTAGCAGGTAACTGTGTGGTGCTTAGCTGCTGGTTAGGGTTAAGCCATGTAACTGCTCATAAATCTGTAGTGTTTGTGCTCTAGTCTGGAATATTGTCATAATTGGTGTCGAGATGTACCGTTCAGCTAGTTAGGAAGTTTACTCGGGGCACACAAACCAATCATTTCTGTATGACTGGGTAATGCACTTATTTGATTCCTTCTGTACCTTTCCTTTTCCCTTTTATAAATACCAGAGCAGGGGTGCTGGTTTGGAGAAATCTCAAGGAACTCGCCAATGAAGTTTTAAGTTGACAAGCAGGCATTCTTCATTGCAGTGCTGGGAGACACGGGGGGGGGGGGGGGAAATAGCTCCTTCCAGCATGTCTCTGCTGAAGTGCTAATCAGTGCGTCTTTATATAGTCACTAATCATACATATTAATTACATATATGCATATTCATGAGGCATCATGTATTGCATCATTCTTCTAGAAAGCTTCTCCTGCATGTGCAAAAATGTGGTAGTGGTCTCTGGGGGTCCAGCAGTCTCCATCACTTGGCCATTCCTTGAACTTTCATTCTGGCAGCCTTTGAAGCATGCACAATAGATAAATGCTTATGCCAGCTTAATTAGTTTAGTAACACCACTGACATAATTGAATGGTTTCTCCTTGTCCTTCTACTTATCAGTTACCTCAGCTACAACTCATCCTGAACATCTGCTAATTTCAGCTAATCTTTATCTATACATTCTGTTTTGTTTACCGTAAATTTTGCGCAAGGTTACAGGGTCCTAGAACTATGCAACTACAGTCGTTTATTTTATACAAGGATGATCACTAAGCAGAACTAATTTACTTACTTATAACAGATTATATTTCAGCCTATATTTCTCTATTTCAATCCCCCCTTTTTGTGTTCCTCTGCATATTCTTTTGCAAAAGTTTCTTAAATCATCCTGTTATGTTCTAATGTTTTTCTAAAATATTCTCCACTTTCTATCTGATGTTTAACTGTTCTCTTAGTTCATTATTGATTGTTTGCAACACCAAAAGGAACATTGGTCTGTTATACATGTAATCAAAGCCATTCCTGTTATTACTAATATAGTTAAAACCAACTGTTTCAACCAGGAGAGATTGGGTACCCATGATGTTAATTTTTTCCAGATTTCCTCAAATCCCCACGAGGTGTCGTCCTGTGCCACCTTATGAAATACTTTCATTGATTACAGAACAAACCCCTCCTTAGGATGCTAACAGTGTACCTAATGCTATTCAGTTTTGGAGTGCTACTTTAGTCAGGCTTGGTTACTTCTTCTTATAATGCTAGAACAGCATCAGCAGTTTGATTTTTCTATTTCCTCAGTTGCAGCTGAGATATTTACAATCGCTTTCTCTAATTCACTGACATCTAGAGATGGAATAAGCCATCTAACAAAGTTATGGAAAGCAGTGTTTCTTTCTGCTATGGGATTATATCCTCGTTTGATTCTTTTATTAAAAGTACAAACCCAGGTTCCAGAGGGATGAATGTCAAATACTGTAGAGTTGGGAAGCACTACTCCTAGTGTGCATGTTCCTTTCCAGTTAGGAGGCAAAGCCTTGCAGGCATTTTCTCCACATAACCAATACCACCCTTTTCCTTCGGGAACATTCTAATAACCTGTTAAAGGTTTTTGAAGGTGAAGTTGCATTGCCTGGCTGCAATATGGGTGATTTCCTACTGACATGTTACCTTAAGAGTTTTGTTTGTGGTTGCATTTAACTTATGACATATTCGAGGCATGAATCCTTAAAACCTATAAATTTGTGTGGCTCTTGTCGGTATAAATAGGATCTTTCTACAATCTATTCCATTTGTCTTAGAGGGGATAGGGAGGCCAGTTAAAGGAATACCCAGTCTCCCTCCTGATTTAGGTAGTTGAGTACAGATCCAACACTCTTGTTTAAGACACTACTAACATTTTGTATCAATCTCAGATACAGGTTTTGATTCCATACTTCTACACCTACTATTATATGAGTCCAAATTATGATCAGTGTAGTCTCACACATGTAGGTCCTGAAGACTCAATGTGCCATACTTTTTCTGAGTTCTGTTTCTGGCTCCTTCTTAGTTCTTGCATAGTGTATCCAAGCAGGTTGCTCTATTATCTTGATTGCAGTGAAGGTGATCAGCAGCACCTGATATGGTCTATTCCACTTTTCCTTAAGAGGATTACCTGTAAAGTTCTTAATATAAACCAAATTTCCTGTCCTAAAAGGATGAATTCCTCTGGCCCTGGTCCCTAACACTCTGCCATTTATTTCTACTAACGGTTTTCCTAACTTCACTAAGAACTGTTGAAGGTATCCTTCTACTTCTTGAAGGTTCTTCCCTTTAAATTGAGATTGGTATGGCCTTCCATATAGAATCTCAGATGGGCTAATTCCTTCCTTTGACTGAGGTTTTGTTCTGATTCTTAATAAGGCCAATGGTAATGCCTGATACCAATATAACTTAGTTTCTTGACAAATCTTTCCCAGTTGTTGTTTAATTGCTGAATTTTTTCCACTTGCCCACTGGCCTGAGGCCTATATGAAACATGTAATTGGCAATCTGTTTCCAATTTCTTGCTGATTTCTTGTAATAACTTTGCACTGAAATGTGTACCACAGTTAGAGGAGATAGTTGCTGGTACTACACAATGAGGCATGATTTTATTTAATAGCACCTTAATCACTTCTTTCACATTATTTGCCCTGCAAGGGAACGCTTCTGGCCAACCTGAAAAAATATCTGTCAATAACAACAAATATCAATAACCTCCTTTTCTAGGTAATTCAGAAAAATCTATTTATCACTGCTATCCCAGATAACTCCCCTTTCTAGTTGTCCCAACCTGATTCCTGTTTTCACTTTTAGGATTATATTTCAGTTGTAGTTGACATTGTCACTAATTGCACTATGGTATAGAAATTGCTTCCTATGATCTGTTGGTTTAAATATTTATACAAGAAATTACTTCCCCAATGACTCGTTATGCTCTTCTTGTACCAGTTTCTATAACTGATTATAGGGGATCACTACTTGCCTATCAGGTATTTTTATCCAGCCCTTTTCATTTCCTGTCCCTTGAAGTCTTCAATTAGTTTCATACCTTCTTTGGAGTACCTAGGTTTATTTTGCTCAATTACCAGACTACTGTCAGGAATTAAGGACATAACCTCAACTCTGTCTGTTTCTGCTGCCCATTTAGCCTCATGATCAGCCAAATTATTTCCAGTCTCTTGATCAGAGTGACCTTTTTGATACAGAATCATAGAATAGTTAGGGTTGGAAAGGACCTTAAGATCATCAAGTTCCAACTCCCCTGCCATGGGCAGGGACACCTTGCTCTAAACCGTATTACCCAAGGCCTCGTCCAACCTGGCCTTGAACACTGCCAGGGATGAAGCATTCACAACCTCCCTGGACAACCTATTCCAGTGCCTCACCGCCCTAACAGGAAAGAATTTCCTCCTCTCCCTTCCCCCTGTGCTTGACAGATACAAAGAGCATTGTGTTCAGCAGCTCCCTCTGGGTACAAAAGCCATCTTGGAATGCTGGCGTATACTGGGCTTGTTGGAAAGTGGAAATGCAACCAGGTGTAGTCATTCTGCTCCAACCTGGCTGCCAGCGACCCCGCTCTGCTCATTGGAGACAATGTGCCTGTGCTGGCTCCTGCCCGTGCTTCCTGGGTTTCGGTAAGGTGAGCCTCTCTCCCAGCTGTGGTTGTTGCAGCTCCCTTGAGTGATGCTTGTAGCCAACTGCTCTTGATCCACAGCCATGACTTGCCTCCAGCGCTGCCCTGTGCCAAGCCCTGCAGGTACCAGGGTGTGTGTGTGGGTGATCTGGTTGGAGGAGGTTGGGAGAAGCCACTGCCTGAGACGGGTCCTGAGGTGGTGTCATCTCTTCCCTGCAGTGGGGCAGCTGCCCTTGAAGCTCAGACCCAGACCAGGACACAGCGGTGGCTTTCCTCACCCTTCTCCTTCATTCCTAGAACTTGGGCTCTGGTTCCAGCAATGACCCAGAAACAGCTTCCAGCTTCCACCATGGGGCTGGGGATGTTATGGAGCTGTTTCCACAGATCACAGAATCCCAGAGTGGTTTGTGCTGAAGGGACCTTAAAGCTCCTCCAGCTCCAACCCCTGCCACGGGCAGGGACCCCTTCCACTGGAGCAGCTTGCTCCAAGCCCCTGTGTCCAACCTGGCCTTGAGCACTGCCAGGGATGGGGCAGCCACAGCTTCTCTGGGCACCCTGTGCCAGCGCCTCAGCACCCTCACAGGGATACATCCACCCCAGACGTGGCTCCCAGCTGCCCAAGCTCTAGGGTCTGCCCTAAGACTTTGCATGCTACATATGGGGTCTCTGGGCATGGGTTCTGCTTTCTGCCCTTTTTGGCACACCTGGGAAAGTGGACCCAGTGCCAGCATTACCTGGTGGAAGGACGCCAATGCACCATGGCCATGGCAAAACAATAGGGAAGCCTCCTCCT